GAAGCTGAAAGAAGGCAGGGAACCCCACACTCAAAAATGATCCTGCGATCTGACATATGTGTGCATTACAAATCCTTTATATCAGAGAATCACAAACTTTACAAAGTATCACACTGTGCACTGTGAACAGGGGACACCAGGGGGACAGGGAACTGAGCAACCAAAAATCTCATCAAGTTACTTCTATTGTTTTCCATGCAGATTCAGTGCAAAAGTAAAGAACGATGCCAAATCTAATTTGCTTCAACATGACAACAACAATAAAATCAGAAATATCGACAGCACTGGATTTCTTATGAGTGTACATATAATTACAACTGCAGTATTTAAAGTTTATATTTGTGTAGTTATATTTACAACTACTACCTACTAAATATATATACAACTATTTTTAGCTGTTTGCTCCATCTAAATAATACAGAACTGTACGTACTGCTAAGTTGCCAAGACCTGATGAGGAGAAAAAGAATACAGGTTTCATTTTTGTGTCATATTACAAGTTCTCTCCTTGAAGTTAGCTTATAAGTGTCTGAATATGTATATTCTTAATTGGTAATCGCGCTTTCACTGCTTTCAGCTGATAATACATAGATTTTTCTGGGAACTTTTACATGAGTAAATTGCCATATTTAGCAGTCTTGTTCTCTCAGATCCTTTTTCAAACCATGGGAATGATTTCTTGCTGTGCTAAGGCAGCAGGACTTTCTCTCTTAATGTTTATGATTCCATTAAGTAAACCCACTATGGAAACAGTTGTTATTATGATAGCATAGATTTTCCTCTGCTCCATTAGAGTGAAGATAAAATTGAAAACTGATCAGTATCTTCTCCCATTTATTCAATATCTTAATTTAATGCAGTCCCTATTCAAGTATTGTTTGTTGCACATAAATAGCAAAAAAAGTGATCAAATATGTATCGAAAAGAAATGCTGGTTAAATGGGAGTGAACTGCACAAACAACTTTACTCCAAAAGTGAGGCTGATTCATACTTCCAGTGTTTCAGTTTGTTGGATTCATCTCCACTCTGTGTAATCTCTTTTACATATTTTTACATTGTTGATCACTCTGTGAGTTCTAGGTTGGGTTTTTAAAGGAGTTAGAAAAATGTATGTATCAAAATCCAACTGAGCTGACATTAGAGAAGTGTTAAAACTGCTGAAAACCTAGGTAGCTTCTAAGTTAGATTCATTTCAGCTTGAATGCTCGCTGTTTCAGGTGACAAAATTTTCTTTGCTTCTCTTTGAGTCACCAACAAATCTTATCTTCTTGGATTAAGAACTAGCTAGAATGAACCTATCTTTCTTCACCTCAAAATCCAGATACTCCAGAAAAATAGATGAGGAACTCCAACTTACAGAGAATACAGTGGAAAGCCTTTTAAATCACACAGGCGTCTTCCAGTGCAATTACTGCCGTGCAGAAAAATCTCCATGTCAGCATTCTTCACCTAAACAGTAAGCTCTGTAAGAGATCTAGCTACCGCAGAGGTTGTTTCCCTATATATATTCAGCTGTTAGGAAGGATTAACATTCTTAATGGCAGCATTTGCACCATCTTTTAAATATATGCCACGGATGTCAACCCATTTCCTGAAGAGTTTGCAGGCAGACTTCTCCAGTGATCATCTTTCAAAGTATTCTCATTCAAATAAGACCTGTAAAAAGAGGCTACTCTTCTTTGACTCAGATATTCTCTTTGCCATGGGTCCTTTAGAAATTCAAAGAGAATCAGCATGGTGGAAGAAGTTTGCACTTCAGAGAGCCAGAGAAAACTAAAACAAAACAAAATCTTTACCATGATTTAAGTCTTCAGGAACTTTATTAAAGGCTTTGGGTTTAGATGGCTGGAGTATAATATTTTGTTTTTATATATAAAAGGGATGGAAAAAGCAGAACTACGATAATTCAACATTAAGAAATGGTCAGGGCTTCAAAATAGGGTAGAAAAAGAGCTACTTTCAGAACAAAATACAGGCAAACCCCAGAAATCCCTGCAGTATTACTTTCATGCTGCATACATAGAGGACGTGGAAATTGCTTTCCTGAGTCCAAATTAAACATCACTTCCTAAAAGAGTCCTCCGCTTCAATTTTCACATCACTGCTGCACGGACTGAGTTCGCCTAACTGAGTTGCCATGTTTAAGGAAGCAACAGAGGCTGGGAATGTGGTTTATGTTTTGACCTCCCATGGGTTGTCTGGGATTGTGTCATTCTTCCTGTAGCTGTGTTTTGATCACAGGATATTTTCCTGTTAAGTAAATCCAGCATAAAAGACCTGTAGAGACTGTAAGAGTTGAAAATCTCAGGCTCTTGATGAAAAGTTTCTATTAGCTTTCCATAAAGCAATTTTAAAGTAATGAGTTCAGAGATTAAGTAAAAACACCTCAGAGAAAAAGAAATATGTGCTATGGGAATCATGAGAACAATTCAGCTTTTTCCTTGCATCAGATCTTTGCTTAAAGAGCAAGGTAGCTCCCCTAGGTAAGAATGAGCATGTCAAGATGTAAAGCTCCTTTTCATTTCCTCATAGTGTACTACTCTTGCACACCTTTAAGTGCTTTAGCTTACTCTCTGTTTTTCGTTCCCACATTCAGATATGGGAAGAAATTGAAGCCACTTCCTTTTGCTGCTCTGCAAGGATATCAAGCTGTTTCTCAAAACAGAGTAGCTTGAGCTCTTTCAGCTAACATTTTCCTTTTTTTTATGGAACTTCCTGTTACAACAGAACGACTTGTATAACGAAACACCAAGGTAAACATTCAGCTCATAAGGAATGTACTGCAGTTCGTAGTACTGAGTTGATTTTGCTGTGGTTTACCATCCTTTGGGAGATGACTGACTAATCAATAATGAGTGAAAAGTAACAACATCCATATCTGCATAAGGTAAACAGTGAGTTACATATGGAAATAACAATAACAATTTTTACAGCCCCCCCCACCCCCAATTCCCAGCCTTACAATTTAGTCCAAACACAATTATATTGCATTTGCAACTCCTCTACTTCCATCCACTCAGCAGTGCACAAGGCTGCACACACCGCTATAATAATGGAGGTGCTGTAAACAACTGACACTGTACACAGCATGTATTTAGATAACACATAAATCTAATTTCCCAAGGAGAAATCTGGCCCAGAAATCTGACCCAAACACAATGCTGATGCCTCTGGGCCTTTTGTGTGGTTTTTTTAAAACTTTGCTTGGTTGGATTTTTTTTCTTTTTTTCCCTACCACAAAAGTGTTGTGGAATCTCTCTGAACTTCAAATACGGAGAAGTCCCTATTCTCCTTCCATTGACTTAAGGCTGCCGGAACATTTGGTGGAGAATCTCCTGCTGCTCAAAGCAAAAACTCAGTGCTTAGGTTTGGTGGTGGCAGCTTTACTTGCCTTTCAGCACTACAGGACAAAATGATGTGAATTACAATGGAGGATAAACGAGCTGAGAATACTGAAGGAGCAGAAGCAGAAGGATCTCTGTCCAACTGCACAGTCATACAGCAGAATACGCCTGAGCCCTTACACTGCCCCGTGTTATGTATCAGAAAGCTGCACGTGATTTCATGTGGTCAGCCAACACACTGGGCTGTGGTTGGAAAATCAAGCTCCAAACTTTTGACACAACCCTGTAATATAACACAGTTAAAAAACAGGAAGACCACATAAATATGTTTGACAAGGGCAGAGTTTCTCAGACTGTGGATCATGAATCCCAAGGTGATGATAAATCACCCAAATCATAATCCCAAGGTGACCCACAGAGGGTCACATAGTATTTTATACCAGAGTGATTGGCAGCAGGTGAGTTCTTCCAAGGTAGAAAAGTGAAAACAGGCTGTAACTGCTGGTTGCAAGTGACTGCGCCACCCCCAGACAAGCTAACTCTGCGCAACTGCGGGAAGCTGAGCTGCTCCTGCAGGGCAGGGGGCTGAGCGTAAACAGGGAAAATCAGGAGCAGGTTTGTTTCCCTCCTCCTAAAGGAGCTCAGCAGATCCAGAGATGTCACACTGATGATCCAAAAGAAGCTGCACTTTCTAGAAGTTTGAAAAATCCTGATCTAGTGCAGTCTTGCCTGGCTGCCTCTGAAATCTTGTCCAGTGCTTTCCTGTCTTTAATCAAGTTAACATTTCCATTTGGGAATATCTGCATTAGTCAAGGAATGTGAGATCAATCAGTGTTTTTTAACATGTCAAATTCAGAGATAAGCAGCAGAGATTTGTGAGCTCTTTGTTAAGAGATCACAAGAGCCAAAAGTATACAGTTAACCTTGTAAAAATGCTCTGCTGAAAAACTACTATTTAAAATGTTTAAAATAAAAAACCTAATATTTAAAATGTCTATCTGTTTTAAGGATAAAAAGCTTACACAGCTTGTGGGAAATCAGTTTTCAAAAGCTTAAATGTCTATTTCTGCAGGTCTTTTATCTCACTTTTGCCTCTTCCCAAACAACGAATAAAACACATAAATGCCTATAAAAATAGCTGTTAGAACCAGTAAAATAAGTTACTGAATTTAAAATGCTTCATCCAGGGATTTTTTTCTGTGACATGCACTGCATGGCAGGTACTATACTCTACATGTTCTTCATCGTCTTAGTGGCAAGAAGTTTTCTGACCTAGTTCAGAAAGATCATCACTTAACTATTTTTAAGCGTGGCATTGTTTTCACATGGACAGCATTGAAAACATATGGGCTTTCCTTTTTCTTGTCTTGTGCTTTCATCTAAAAGATATTCATATGTGAAAGCACTGGCAAGTATTTATCTTTAGAATCTATCCCTACCTTCTGGCACTCTGCCTAATTTCCAAGTTTTTACATCAATGAAAGCAGTATTTCAGCAAGAAAGTGTTTTTTTCCTTTCACATGTCTACCTTTTAACTGAAGTGTTCTGTGCTATTGAGTAACTAGACAGCTGGAAAGTTGCTGAAAGGAGCAGTGTAGTTTAAAAATTTTTAGACTATTCTACCTTTCGTGGGAACCAGTACATGAAAATAAATTTCCAAAATCATGCATGATTGTAATTGGAATTATGCAGTAAAAAAACCTAAAAATTGCATGTTGTATTGTAAAAGAGCTAGAAATTAAATCTGTTTATCTGGAATCATTCTGCAATAATTAAAAAATATGGGCATGTGCTTAAGTACAATTCATCCAAAGATCAGAGTTACACTGGTTATGTTTACTTGCAAATCTGCTGTGCAGCCAGTGTTCTATGAAGATCCTGCATGCTACAACGCGGCTGATCACGCCTCCAGTCTTCCCTGGCCATGCAGCTTCGTGCATGATGTGTCCCAGGGTACAAGATTTTGCACATCAGTTGCATGGGGATGAAGTAGAGCCCTGTGTCCTAAGCAGAAGCGAATCCTCGCTCTACCCATCTGTTTGCCAGCCTGCGGGTTAAAGGAAGTTCAAGGCACGGGCACTGAATGAGCATATTTAGGGAGACATGAGTTGAGCCATGACCCTCTTTGTGCAAATGAATGCTTACCTGACTATATGTTCTTCCATCTGCCACAAATAATTACGGCCATGCCTCATCAAGAGTTCTGCAGGCACAATCATGGAAGCGTAAGTTAGTCCATGCCTTCTTATTTTGTTCATTACTTTTGCCCTGTCTAAATGTACGTAACAATCTTCACTCCTGCCCTGCAGGATCAAGTTTCCTCTCCAACAGTTATTTCCTTGTCTTCTGAACCTTTTACTTCTTTAAGTTTTCACCATGTGTCACAGCCACTTTTGTGAATGTCAGTGCCAAAGTTTTGGGTGTCAGATACAGAGAACCCTGTATGCAGGGATGCATCCCAGATCCAAAGAGGACCCGGGAAGGAGGACAGTTTGCAGGGAAATGAGGCATGTCAGACAAGTCAACCAAAAAGACCTGGCAAGCCATTTCTCAAATGGCTTAGCTGACATACCAAGAAGTGATTCTCTGGCTAATTGAAAAGTCATATAGCGGGAAGCATGTGTGTGGAGACAGTTGATTTATGACTACTTCCAGTTTCAAAAGGTTTCATCAGGAAGTTACATTTGTGCATTTTCTGTCTATACAGCTTCTGTTTCCAGAGTTGCCCTGTAGATGCAAATTGCCAGACACCTGGCTGAGTGAGGTAATACAGAAGATACCTCAGAATACAAAGTCAGAACATTTCCATAGTAAGAAGAAAAAATAAATATATTGCTAACAGTTTGGGATGCTTTTTGGAAACTCTTTCCATATAAAGCTGCTTTTCAATCTGTCATCAATCTGCAGTAACCCAGGGAAGAGAAACAGAGCTGTGGAATCAGTTTGGATGTCAGATCCAGTTGTAAAAAGCTGCTAAAAACATGTAGAGCCAAATTTGGAAGATCTCAATTTCATATTCCTGGAAAAGAATGCATTGGCAGAGACGTGAGCAGAAGTTTTAATTTATGTGAAGAGATTTGTTTCAAACATGTTTATACTCCTTATTTGAGCAATGTTTGCAGTTTCAATTAGCATATCTTTTTGCCTGAGCAGCAAGGTTTCCATTCACAATATGAGAGTCCTTAATCTGCTGTTTGCATGGTTAAATTCACAGGGATTTCCACATCTTGGTTTCACATATCCTGACCAATCCTTTCCTGTAATTTTAGAGAAGAATTTTATAAGGTAAATACTGAGAAAACATTAAACTCTTATGACTTTGAGATGGAAAAACTTCAAAAGGTTTAAAAGACCATCTTGGGGCCTGATGTTACAGACACTTTCCAAAGGTTACCATAAAAGCTTTTACAGACTCTTTCTACAGTTATTTGGTGTTGCTGTTGCCTGCCTGCAGTTGTGTCTTTTCAAATTAAATTGGTCTCTCTTTTTTTTCAGATCAAATTTCCTTCTGTGTCCAAGGTCTCCTGACAGGCTTCTCTTCCTTCCTATAGGGCATCCCATTTTTTCTTTCTAGAGTTCATAGAAATTGGAATTCAAAGAAAGTGGATTCTAATAATATTCTTTTTGTCACATGGAATACCTGAAGTTATTCTAATAGAACATTTCCTAGTCTTGACAGCCAAAAAAAAAAGTAAGTAAAATTGAAATACAGGAACCAAGTAGGCTAGTTTAGCCACATACTTCATACCTAACTTGAACCTTCCTTCTAAGCAAAACAATAATTAAAAGTTGCCAAAAATCTGATTTGCTTGTTAGAAATACAATTAATATTCTAGCCAGGTCCAGTAATTTCAGTGGCAGAACAGAATGTCTATCGCTCTCCCTTTTTTTGGATGCCACCTTTGTGCTGAGGTGCTGAGTGGCACCTTTGCGCTTAGATAGCTGACCCTGCTCCAGCCAGAAACACACTGATCAACAGGGGAGCAGGAGTACCAGTTTGATT